GGTCGCGGATCGATGCCTCCCGTGCTGCTCGTTAGCCCGCTCCCGTTTGTTAGTAGCGCCGGCTTTTAGTTGGTTTGGATCTGGGGAGTTGGTGAGTCTGAGGAGGTTAGGGGGCTGCACTAGCTTGTTGGACTGTTTTCTTAAGTTTCTCTCGATTTAGTGATTTCTCGATCAGAGGCGAACAATTTCGCAGAATTGATGTTATCTGGGTTTATGGGTTTGGCGAACTCTCGGATTCTGTTTGTCGAGTCGTGTACGGATAATTAGGACGTAAACTCTGGGGATACGTGGGATGGTTATAGTTGCCTTTGCATAGGCACTATGGATATAAATTGTTGCGATGGCATATATATTGAGTGAAGGTGGAGTTTTTGAATTCTCATGTTGAACTTACAAAATTTAGTACTTGGGTTCGTGGAAATCCGGACAACTATGAACTAAAGTTTGGCACCATCGCGTACTGTGTTGTGGACTTGTTTATGCTGGTTTCCCTACAATATAGTTAGCGGGAATTTGTTGTCTTGCAGTCTTTGTCGACTGGCGCTGGGGTGAAGAGTTCGGTGGGAATTTGCATCAAATGGCGAGGATAAAACCCCAAACCCTACTTCTTCAGAGTAAAAAGAAGAAGGGCCCTTCTCGCGTCAGTGTTCCTGTGATGATTCTGTACTGCTTATTCGTCGGGTTGGCCGTTTTCTCCTTGTTGGTTACGTATAGGCACTGGTCAAGAAGGCAGGATTCTACACTCCCCCACACCCCTCCCTTTGATGACTCAGTTTCTGAAAATGATATTGTCTATAGGTTACTTATTGCCCAATACTGAGGTTAAACTGGTGATCGTTTTTCAGGTCTGTGGAACAGACAGGCACTGGCTTAGCAAATTTTGAGGTAATATCATTTTTTTCAACTTTCTAATGAGTAAAAATCTTGAATTTATCTTTTCAGTTTGCCGCTTTCGTATTGATACGATGAAATGTGTTTGATTTATTATGGTTTTATATTTTAGGACACAGATGCTGCTGTAGATTCGAAGAAGTACGATCTTCCTGGTTATGCTGTAAGTTTTTTTGTAATTCTTTGCACGAACATGCTCGTAGGACTTATGGCATATAGAGAGGAAGAATTATCACACGAGATAAGCTTTCCACATCTTGTCATGATGAGGCTTACTGCTTCTCAACCTGGATGACTTCTCTATGGGGCGAGTTGAGATGGGGATCACTGTGTCCATTCCTGCCCTGCACCTCAAGAAGCTGGCTCACTAATTGCCCCATGCTTGGTAGGGCATGCGTGGAGCTTCTGTTAAAGCCCTATGATCACTTCGCAGGAATAAATCACGCACAAGTCCTGCCCTGCTTACCCTGTAACTATGATAATTTAACAGTGTATACTGTACAAAACTCATGAATCTTGAACCTTGTTATGTTAATGCGGAAGAGAAACATTACTCTATGTGAGATGATGAGGAACTCTGCGATTATATGTAATTTGTGGAATATGGAGTGGAGGCAAACAGTTGTTTATTAGTCAAGTTTATAAATAATTGAAAACACATTATATGTTGTTCAAGCAATGCAATAAGCTACTCCTAGATATGAACAGATCTCAAAAGAAGAAGAAGATATGTAAGATTGTATCCATCTCAAGCCTCAGAGAGAGAGAGAGAGTCTCACACTCAGATTGCCTAAATGCCAGATACTTTTATAAGGTTATGTTCATTAAGCTAATAAGTGGAGATCTTTAACAACATATGATGGGCAATGACTTCTCGAACCTGTCCGTGCGTTTCCCTGAGCATGGGGCTGTCTTGTTTTGTCGAGTTTGCAATATGCCCTGCATGATGTCAACCTGTCCTGGTGTAAAGGGTAAGATTAGTTGCGGCCCCTTCCCTGAGTGGAGCGTTACTCTACTTCACTGTAATTAGCGGTTCTAAGGATTTGATATTGAGAATAGTGGCATTGAAACATGTGTATCTCTCTTTAAGCAATGTTCCCGACTCTGCAAGATTGCTGAACTTATGTGGTCCCTCCTGCAAATTGCAAGATTTATTATCCTTTTCTTTTTCTGATTAATTTTTCCTATTTTTTGTGCAGATTTTGAATACATCAAAAGGTGATATCGTTGTGGAGCTTTTCAAGGATGGTGCCCCTGAGATTGTGGATAAATTCCTTGACTTGTGGTGAGTGTGTATCTGAATATTTAGTCATGCTCAGTGGTCAAGATCACAGACTCAAGTCTTTGCAGCTTAACTTAGATTTAAGAAGAGCCCCATGAATGCATTATTGCTCATCAGCTGATTTGATGGCTGTTTAATCTTGATTGATTTTTTGTTTATGTGCTTTAATATCTCTCTATTTTCTCCTACCTCTTGAGTTTGTTCAGAGTGTGATACGTGTCAATTCAACCAGTAATGTTTCTTGTGGAATTAGTCATCTAACTGTGGATTCAGTAGCAGCGGCTAAATATTATGCTTTTGCTGCTGAATCCGTACCATTCTTATACTATAGGTTTTGCACTCCGTGATTGGATGACTATTTAGTCCTTGTGCAGTGCCATTGCTGAATACATAATTACTTGGTGAAACTTCGTTTTGAATCCTTTGGTAAATGTAGTTCACTTTCAAATTATTAGAATTACTTCCTGAAGTGAATGACAAAGGCAATATTGTTTGACTCTAGCCAATGTTTTCAATGTACACTCTCATATTATGCGCACCAACAGCCTGAGCTTGGATTTTTGCAGTCAAAAAGGGCACTTCAGAGGCATGCCTTTCCATCACGTGATTAAACATTATGTTATTCAAGGAGGGGATTTCCAAGGTCTTGGAGCGGCAGAAGATTGGACTTCCCGAGGAAAGCTTCGGGGCAAGCTTGTGACGAGGTACCTTGAATTGATGTGAATCATCACTGTAAGGTCTATTTAACTTTTGTTTTGTATTTTACATGATCACTTACTTTTTTCTCTTCTTAATGTGCAGTCCTAAGCATGAGGCTTTTATGCTTGGTACTTCAAAGAGTAAGCAAGACAGCAAGAAATTTGAGCTTTTCATCACAACTGCTCCCATACCGGATTTGAATGACAAGATTATTGTCTTTGGACGGGTAATCAAGGGAGAAGATGTGGTGCAGGTAATTTCACTTCTCTGTTCAAGAGTTGCTTGTTTTTTATTCCAATTGGAGATACAACTGCGCAATTGGCCCATTATGTTTGTTTTCTATCAGGAAATTGAAGAAGTGGACACAGATGAACTATATCGGCCCAAGTCTAATATATTGATATTTGATGTAATTCTCAAACGTGAAGTATGAAGCTTTAGCCAAACTGGTGACGTGTGTTGTTAACATGTGCTCCTCTGAGATTTTGCTAACCAGGATACAAGTTTTCTGAGGCAGACCACATTCCTCGGGACTTGTTTTATCTTCTCCGACAGGTGTATTACTTGCATTGTTGTTTTCAGGATCTTTTGGATTTGTAGCGCTTTTCCTTTCTCTTTTTGTTTCTTTCCGGGGTGGGGATAATTTGTGGTAGGGATTAGTTTCTCTTTTCAGTAAAAAGTACAGGGAGCTTTGATTTCTGGAGGGAGCGGGAATGCAGAGTTAGGTTCAGCATTACACGAACAATTGTGCTGCTGCATCTTTTTGCTTGTATTTTTATCATTATATTCTATGAAGTTTGTTTGTTCTTTGTTGATATGAGTGTGAAACCACGGAATTCTTATGTTACCTCCTTGCTGGGGAAAATATTTATCGGAACCTGCTTTCCAATTTTAGTTTCTAAGGAGGTATTTTTCTTTTAATATCTTTAAGCTCTTCAATGGAGCGAAGGGAGTAACTCGAAAGCGGATGGAACTTGACTCTGGTTAAGAATTATCAAGAACATGGATTAGCTCAGTTGCTTATAACTTAATAAGTTTTGGTTCAACTCAGAGACTCTATCATCCAAGGTCGGCCCAAACTTATATATGCGAGCTCTTCTTTGCTCCAAACTGCTTTCTAGTTAATGGGTCACAAACGTATATTTCCCCACGAAGTCTAGATACTCATGAACCACAAGAAAACAGTCCAAAGCCTACAAGCTCTTAAAGTCACCTCTCTCACCACCATGGAGCCACCACCGAACATCACTGTTGCCGCTGCCATTGGTCCACCCCAGCATGCTAGTGAAGATGCAAAGTACAATGGATGCTAATAACGCTCTTTTCGAAGAGAATAATCAGATTTTTAAGGTCTAATAATAATCTTGCCAGATAAATTTAAAAAAAAATTTGATTGAAAGGGTTTTAGTTGCAAAAAGGGATAATGACACAAACAGTTCCCGAACTTTGGTCCAATGTGCAATTTGGTCAATAAACTTTTAATTTGTTCAATGTAGTTCTTGAACTTTAACTTAATGCTCAATTTGATCCTTGAATTTTTAATCTGTTCAATGTGGTCTCTGGACTTTTAGCACATGTTCAATTTAGTCTCTGAACTATATGAAAATGTTCAATGTAATCCTTGAACTTGAATTAATAGAAGGACTACATTAAACATTTTCAAATAGTTCAGGGACTAAATTAAACATATACTAAAAGTTCAAGGATCACATTGAATAAATTAAAAGTTCATGGACCAAATTGAACATTATGCTAAAGTTTAGGGACTACATTGAACAAATTAAAAGTTCATGAACCAAATTGCACATTGGATCAAAGTTCAGGAATTGTTTGTGTAATTTTCCCTTGCAAGAACTAGCAGTTTCACGTAGCAAGCTGGTTTCATCATTTTAAGGGGCAAAGTGTGTTCGATTTGAGCCGGCTCATTTCTTTTTAAAGCATCCCACTTACCGAAAAGAGGCAAATAACTGTGACTTCTTTCCGTCTGATCACCGTGAAATGTTCTTGGCTTTGACAGCAAGCTGTGGTACAGTAATGGTATCATTGCAGCCTTGAGACTTGTCACACCGGATTTGTTCATTTCTCATGACTGCACTCACTCAAGTGAGATCCCATTCCCATTTCTACATGCTTTGCTTTAACAAATTAACACATTTGTTCTTGAATTCTCCTCTAAGTAATCGGGTACTTTTAAATTGAATAAGTCACATTGTAGCTGCTTGGAAACTATTCTGAAGGGATTAGAGGTTCCTTCTTGTTTGTCTAAATCTATCTACTCAAGTTACCTTTGATTCCTACCCATCTTTGAACAGTTTTCACGGTTATCTTGCATATTAATCTCCTTGGTTTTACCGCTATCCTGAAGCTATTTAGGGACAACAATTCCTCGAATTTCATTTAGGGCATAACATGACATGTCCACCATATCAGATCAGATTGTTGTTTGGTGGGTTATTTAGCAAAGCGCCTTCAACTGTTTCTTTAGTTGATTTGAGGTGATTGCATCGTGTCTTTGAGTTTCAGTTCGGAGGTTTGGTTTCTAGTTTCAAGCTCCAACATGTGAAGCATTTTCTGTTCTCTCTCATGCCATTGTATGTTATCCATGATGTTGATGAACTACTCGACGTCATCTCGTGAAATTAGTCTCATTGATTTTATTGCTATTAGTTTCATAATGGTGAATGTCAGTTTTTTTTGGCTTCACTGTAACTACCGCGGTAGTCTTGGTATTTTGCTGCATCATGCATTGTAGTTGGGGCTTCAGTAGATTTTTTGATTATGCAGCCGTTTCGATAACCGATATGATCTGAAGGAACTATTTGAACCAGTTCTTCTGTATACCATAATCCAGAGTACCTAACCTCGCTAATTAACTTTTATACCTCTGCTTAAGGCATAAGTACTTAAACTGACGCATGAACTTGGATGTAGTGCAACCAGCTGCTTTCATTTCTCCCACTTAATGGCAGCATGTATCGATTTATTTGACATGCCTTGTTCGATCCTAACAGATGAGTATATTGGGTCCTTCAGACGTCACTTGCTGAGAAGAACATAGAGCTCAAATAAAGATCATGTGGAAATAGCTCCTCCAGCGAATGATCCAAATAGCTTAATCAAAATGCAGGCACAGTCAGCGGCCCGAGACCATGTTTCGGTCGAAATTTCTCATACTGAAGATGACATCGTGTCTTCCATTCAGGGAAAGATGGAGGTCATTTCATCCTCAATCAATATCCGCAGAGTGCCCGAGCGACTGCGCGGGGAATATAGCAGGCACTACCTCCCGCAATTGGTCTCTATCGGACCTTATCACCGAGGCAAACTGACTTCCATGGATGATCACAAGTGGCGCTACTTATTTACACTCCTAAACCGAAACCCCGACATAGGATTGACCTTGGACAAGTGTGTGAAATCGCTCCGAGAGTTGGAGCACCGAGCGCGTCGGTCCTATGACGGAGATATAAACCTCTCCAGCAACGACTTCATTGAAATGATGCTTGTCGACGGTTGTTTTATCCTTGAACTCTTCATCAAGTGCTCGAGCCGGAGCCTCCGACGTAGGAATGATTCTCTCTTTTGCACTCCGGGGAAGCTGTATGACTTGAGGTGCGATCTGGTGCTGCTGGAAAATCAGATTCCTCTGTTCGTTCTTCAGCGATTGTTTCAGATCGTGCCGATTCCGAAACAGTGCACACATTCCCTGTACGATCTTGCCTTTCGGTTCTTCAAGAGTATGATCCCCGGAGAACAGGAATATCTCCGAGAAAAGCTCAACGAAGAAGCTCATCATTTGCTCGACTTAATCCACAACTGTTTGATACCAGCGAATTACACGAAGAAAGATGCACCGACACGAAATGGTCTGGATAAGCATGCAGTCGAACTTCAAGTTGCCGGAATCAAGTTCAAAAGATTGGCGACTAGAAGCGTGTTAGACGTCGAATTTAGCAAAGGTGTCCTCTATGTCCCGGCTCTGAGAATCAATCCGAGCACGGTGATCCTTTTGAGGAACCTAATCGCCCTCGAGCAAAGTCGGTGCGTTGACACGCCATGCGTGACTTCTTATGCTAATCTCATTCACAAACTAATGTCCTCGGAGAAGGACGAGAAGCTGTTCTGCGAACAACGCATAGTATCAAACCACTTGGACGGCGACGCGAAGGTTTTCCAACTGTTTGGCGATCTGTGCAAGGGTCTGATCTTACAGGATTATCACTACGAAGAACTCTGCGTACAGATGAAAGAGTACATCGACAGGAAAAAGCGCAGGACATCGAAGTGCAACCAGAAGACTGATCAACAAGCAAGTAAGCAGAGCACACTCATCGTCCTGGCCATCATCGTCCTAATCATGATATTCATCGGGACGCTGTTCTCTGCATTGTCATTCTTCCTCCACCATAACTAGCACACCCATGGACGCGAATGAGCCGCTTTGTCGTCGCATTATGTTAGCTCCTCTTTTTCTTTCATGGGTTTGAGTTTCTGTTGCTTTGCGCACAAGTAAAGTGTCGGAGCGAATGTTGCACATCCGTGTCTTGAAAGTTTCACGATCAGAAAGATGGATCGATATAAACAGCGAACAACGTCGTCGCGAGTTCATTGTCTACTCGTTCTGCAGAAATTTCCACTGAAGCAATCGTTTCTGGCTGAAAAAGAAGCAAGCGGCCTTGTTTCATCTCCATGCTTTCAAGAATGCTCTCACTGTAATGTCATCGTGACCAAGATGTTTTGGGCTACGGAACAAAGCCTTAAAGCAAAATGACCAAAAAGGAATAGTGTAGATGCAAACACAAATCTGGCCTTTTTGTACTTGTGAAAAATAAATGTTTCATTCCTTATTATAAAATTTCAAGATTACTAACAAATGTCCTACCTTATTTAACTGGGTCCAGATTGGTTCACACGGAGATCGGGTTGGTTCCAAGATGAAAATTTGGGGAACCGGCCTTGGTTCTTAGGAAGAACCGATTTTGATCTAGTAGTCTTTTTTATCTTTACTTTGTTTATAAAAAAAAATGGATACGTACGTTAGAGATGGATTTTGAACTTGGGAAATTTAGGAAATCCATCAATGCCTTAATTATTGTACCGCAAATTATTGACATGATATATTTTTCTATAATAGTTCTTATGTTGCGTAAAGTTAGGCATGGTTCCCGAGTCTACCCTAGAACCAGTAGGCTTTCAAAAATTGAGAACTTATTTTGAGTTCCGAGCACCCCTATGGGATCAAACCTCCTCCAACACAAAATTCACTTCCGCAAAATTGATGGGCCAAAAAAATAAAATAAAAAAGGCACAAAATTGAATAAATAATAGAGAAGACATTGGAGATGGTGGGCTGATCCAATTTTGCTTAATCGTGTTATTACAAACTACTGATCAGTTTTAATTTTTTTTTCTTGTGAATATTATTAATGATCAGCTTGGGCCAACCTAGCTGTCCACCTCAGCAATCATTACCTGAAAATTAACAAGTTTGGCACCATCCTTAAATTCAGCATCCTTCAATAGACTTGAATGTTATTCAACTTTTCTTAGTCTTATCATATACATTGAAAATAGGGTCAAGTAACCTTCAAATTGTCTTCGAGATTACGTTTTTGCAATTTCCTCGTGAATAATTCGAGGGGGTAGAAGCTGTAGTCAAAGTCAACATCACGAGCGTGGGCCCAGAATTTTAAATTCTTTCTTTTTAAATTCAGTTTAGTCCCATGTGGACCCTAAAAGATCTGCAACTTGCAGATAAGATGGGGGTTCGGGTATAGGGTCAATTCGGTCATTAAAATTTTTGAATTGAACATGATGTATGACTTGGATTTTATCAAGAATCTCATATCCGGCCGCAATTATTGGACCCAATCATAATATCACCAAATGTCAGGCACCTCCTTGAAATTTCAAAAAAAAGGGGGGAAAAGCAAAAATAAGGAAAGTATATGGCAGTTGTCAATGTGACTTTTGGAATGAATGCATATCCCGCATTTGGAAAAAAGGTAAAATGGAAGATACATGGACCAGGGAATAAGTAACTTTTTCTAACTAGCATGAACAATTAAGTTAAGCCCGTTTGGTAATGCATGCATCGAAATTATTACATCAACTTAAAGTTGGGTGACATAATTTTTTAAAAGCTGCTGTAAGTTGTTGCTACAAATTTGAAGAATCCATGAGGCATTTGCTAAACATCTGAAAAGGAACCGCAAAGTCTTTTTCATGATTAAAGCCATGGCGAAAAAAAAAAAATTGTGCAAAAATGGGCTTTATTGGTCGGCATATTTTTTAGCAGAAGAAACTTAATTAGTTTTGAAAGATCTTCGCAAAAATATTTTATCGGGACTTGTAGTAAGAGCATAGTCAAGTATTATTTTCTTATTGTCCGACAACTGTTTTTTGGAAAAAAAGAAGAAGAGGAAAATGTTAAAGGGCGAAGAAATAGGGTGAGATATCAACTTCCCTTCTAGAAGAAGGACCAGGAAATAAATTACACAAATAGAGGGGCATCAGGGCTAAAAAGGAAAAGAAAAACTCTAGCCAAGTGGGAAGAACCCCCACATGGGCCCCACCTCACACGCATTCGGACCGGCGCCCGTGCAAAGTACGGATCACGTTCCGACAAAACACACACACCACATTACTCGGTCGTGTCCTACGCTCAGAATTCAAAACATCGGGGAAATTATCCCCTACGTCTCCGGCGCACGTACACCCCCTCCTCTCTCCGCCGTCGGATCCTCCATCCATCGCGCGAGGTCGACGCGAACGGTGGGATTGCGGGAGCGAAGACGAAAGACGACGACGACGACCCAGGAGGAGCTGATGTGATGATGGAGGACGACGACGCACCGCGCATCGCGCTGTCAAGACAGACCACGCATTTGCCGCATTTGCGCAGCGCCATCATCGTCCCTCGTAAAAGCACCTTCCTTTGGGGGGCGAGTCTGTCTTTCTCGTGCATCATCGTCAGCTCCTCCTCGCTCGGCCTCTCGATCCGCCTTTGTTATCCGACCCCACGAGACCGAAAGGAAGAGATAATCCAAGAACTGGGTCTTGGTTGGGTTTGAGGGAGAGAGACGAGAGAGAGAGAGAGAGAGAGAGAGAGATGGAAGGGGACAGGAGAGTTGGGGTGGCGGTGGATTTCTCGGCATGCAGCAAGAAGGCGGTGAAGTGGGCGGTGGACAACGTCGTCCGCGACGGCGATCACCTGATCCTCATCACCGTCCGCCCCGAGGGTAACTACGAGGAAGGCGAGATGCAGCTCTGGGCAGCCACCGGCTCTCGTAATACAATTCATCTCTCTCTCTCTCTCTCTCTCTCTCTCTCTCTCTCTTTGTGCGTGCGTGTGTGTGGGGATCAGTGTCTAGAGATCACGGTTGATATGACGTCGATCCTTGTAATATGTTCCACTTTTGCAATTTTTTTTCCTTCTTCTTCAGCTAGAAGAGCTGTTTTTCAAAGAACTGAGACGGAAGATAGATTAGATGGAGATCATGTATAAGAATACACTCTGCTCATTTTTTCATCGTGGGTTTTTCATTTTTAGTGGTTTTTTGTTTGTTTTTGTTCTCTTTTGTTCCAAGGAATGGATCCTGGCTCTTTGTTCTGAAGTTCCTTTCCCAGATAAGTTCGTGATTGTTTATGTGTTCTTGGTTACGACATCTGGATTTCATGGCAAATGAATTCAGTTGACCTGGAATGGACCGTAAAAGAGGAATCTTTATCTTGAGAAATGATCTGTTTCTTGATTCTATCATCTTTTGGATTGCTTTAGTTTATTGATCTCTGTGTGTGTGTGTGTGTGTCATTTGGGGTTCATTCATTTTGTTTTTTGGGCAGCTCTTATCCCTCTGAATGAGTTCTCTGATCCCATTATCATGAAGAAATATGGGGTGAAGCCTGATCCAGAGACGATCGACATCGTCAGTACTATTGCTAGGCAGAAGGAGGTAAATTCTGAATCTGGATTTATAATCTGACCTTGCATTTTTGCATAAGCTGTATATCTGTCTTATAGAAAGAGGACGATTGATTCAATGTCTATTTGTGCAGGTTGCGGTGGTTATGAAGATCTACTGGGGAGATGCACGTGAGAAGATCTGTGAAGCGATCGACAAAATCCCCCTGAGCTGCCTCATAATTGGAAACAGGGGCCTTGGCAAGCTGAAGAGGTACAATTGATTGCATCCAACTCTGACTCCTTGGTGCTGTTGAATATGCATTGGCATGTGCACCGATATGTGCTAGGATAAAAATGGTTACTTTTGCCTTGTGGCTCAATTGATTGGCTTGAACTCGATAAAGACGCTGCTAAGATCCATTCTACTGATGACATGTCTTGACAAGACGAAGCATGATGCGGGCAAGGAATAGAAACTAGTGTTTCTTGTGGAATCTAGTGCAGGTGTCATTAATCATTATTTACCGGCTTACTCTGTTTGCTAACACACTTCTATCATATTAAAAAGGTAACATTTACTGTCTAACATCATTCTCGTAGAACAAGAGAAAATTTTCCCTAGAAGTGCTATTTATTCTTGATTTGCCCCTAAGGAGGATCATTTAGCTGGGAAGATGTAGCGTCCGATTTTCTATGCTAGACTAAGTGGCCTCAAGTTGATTGTGCAATTGAGATGCTTCTCTTCCTCTCTTTGAATGTTTTGCTGAAAAAACTGATGCAGTTTGTCTGTCATATTGGTGCAGGGCCATACTGGGGAGTGTGAGTAACTATGTCGTGAACAATGGATCTTGCCCTGTGACCGTCGTGAAGAGCACAGAACACGATAACTAATCGGTTCGCATACTCTTCCTATGATTGATCAAGAAATAAATTCACCTGCATTCTCTAGCTGATTGGATTCCTAGTCCTTGAGGATATCCAGGATGGAAACCATGGAAAGTAAGTTTTGCTGTCGCGATGCTTCGGCAAAGTTGTAAGAATTTCATAGTTGGTGTATATGCCTTTCTTCAGTTTCTGCAAAGTAAACTTTGTCGGACCGAAAAAAAATTTGATCATGGACAACTTTGGGTGTTGGATAGTGGCATTTAATTTGCAGAGGCGTAGCTCTTGGTTATAATCTCGGGGTTGCTTTTCATGGCTTCTCATCTCATTATTAGTTCTTCCATCTTAAGCAGGGGTGTGATTTGTTGAGTACCTCAAGCCTCTCATCTCTGAATTATGTGTGTGCATATATGTTGGTGATGAGAGGGATTTTCTAAATGGATTAAGGAAGTTACTTTTGAGGAGGGAAAGTTGTACAAGTTCTTCTCTTTATGAAAATTGAAAGGACTTGAGCCGTTCATTTAATCAAATGAAACGACATGAATACGTGATTCTGCACAGCACTAACTCGCAGTTAGAGATAGTAGGTGACTGCTGTACCGGCACCATGCTCTGTATGCTCTGTATCGTGTTTGCACATGTTGCTAGCGGATCATGGAGGCTTCAGAGTTTAGCTGCTGTGGCGAAATTGCTTACCGGATGTCTTGCTTTTGGTATCGAAGGATGCCATGTGCACAGATTTGGGCCAATGCACTTAGACTTGATCGTGTGCCCGGCAGCAATTTGCTAGCTCAGGTGACCCCGAAAATGTATGTCAATTTATTAGCTAGAAGCCGGCTTGGGCAACAAGTCACCCTCGGACACGTGGCCCGATCTGTGTCCCGATCCACCCATTTGACTACACCTAGATATAAAGAATGAGTAGCCGATCAACGATCAGGCTAGGGAAAACCGACACGTATCGGTCTTAAAATGGACAATCTTGGTATGAGTTTCATCAGATGTACTTCGGTTAATTTTAGTAGGTATATTCTTGGAACAATGTCACAACCTGAGAACCTGAACACCATTGTTAGCATCCGAGAA